AAACTCGGGTATGACCCTCGTGTTAACCCTACTGCGGTAGCTCCAGTCAGACTGAGCAAGTGAATCCATCTATTATTTCCAACTTAGAGTCCTGAAGCCCTGACTTTTTTAGTGGTCGCGTTACAATGTTCGCTTACGGGATCCGGAGAAACCGTATCTCGAACGGTGATAAGCGAAATCATCAAACCACGCAAACGTCCACAGACATCTTCTAGTAACTCATCTTCTACCAAACAGACACTGAGTTCTGACCACCCCTTGAGGAAGCAGGCAGATCCCGTCGTCCCTCGAAGAAGGAGACGGACGCTTGGAGTTTAGCGGCAGGAGTGGCAGCTAACCACCTCAAAGCCATCGACCTCGCGGCGCCTGTGAATCGGCAGGGCTAGCGGGGGAAGAGATTAGGGGGGGTTTTTATTTTCTTGAACAAAACGAATGGAACCTAGGAACGGATATCAGAAGTTTGGTTTTATAATAGTTAGCAGCAAGTTAACAATCAAGCTAACAATTGACATTAAGACATTAAAATGCAAGCAAGACATTAAAATGAATCCAACAGAGTCAGAGAAGGGGGCAGCAACACCCCAAATGGTGCCAATATGCATGTATGCAATAAAGAGATGGCAACAGGCAGGGCCAGAACCAGAGCCCCTAGGTAGTACGGCTGAGATAAGCCCAATGGTGTCCCAGTCGGTGCAGGCAACACTATTAGAACAACTGTCAGCACAGATGGAGAGGTTGTTTCAGCAAAGAGCACAGGCTGAAAGGGAAGCTGAAGGAAGAGCTTGGAGTACAAAATCCCGATATGAACAGCCTAGCAAACCCTTTGATAACGAGGGAGGGATTCGAGAAGGGGCATACTCTTATAGATGAAATAAGACAGCCAGCATATCGTCCCGACAATTAACTGAAAGATCAGGTTTAGCAGGAGACCAGATCCGGGGCATAAGATGGGGTGAGTTGTGTGATGCTCTCAGGAATCATTTCCGCGATAGTCGGTGGTATGTAGACATACGCGAAGCTATCAGGGATAGAAAGCAGCGCGAAAAGGAAGATGTCGACACTTTTTACGACGCAATAGAGCAATTGATGGATGGGCTGAAAACGCACCTTAGTGAGGCCACGATAGTAGAGGTTGTGAGGCGAAATCTGAGGTCCGAGGTACTACATGAATAGCTAAATGTTACTATTCGATCGATCAGTCAATTGAGAGAAGTCTGCAGGCGTCGCGAAAGGTTCTTGGAGGAGATAAGGCGCGATAGCAGCTTTTGTAAGCCCGGTTATTCGAAGAAGGCGAATGGTGAGGAGTACATACGCGAGGATAGAGGAAAGGCTGTAGCAGAAGTAAGTGAAGGAATGGAAATGGAGGATGCAAGTGATTTTTCGGACGATGGAGATCCGGATATCGAGGCAGTGGCTCTCATTTGTTGGGGCCACTCATTTGTAAAGGGAAAAGGATCATGTGTATAGACAGCCTCGGACAACGACAGCAAGTGTTAGGCCAGGTGACAACCGAGATAAAATTCAAGGGGCAATGCAAAATACAAAGTCTATACTTGGTGCCCACACTTAGTCAGGACTTATATCTGGGCATCGATTTTTGGAATAGTTTTGAGCTTCTGCTGACGAAGTTCCAAGTCAGTGAAGTGTCAGTTAGTCACGAGTTGACGACAGCCCAACAAGCTAGCCTGACGGCGGTAGTAGAGCGCTTTCTGTCTTTTGCCAAGTTAGGATTGGGCAAAACACAGCTGATCAGTCACAGCATCGACGTGGGGGATGCTAAAGCAGTGAAGCAGAGGCATTATCCCGTCTCATCAGCAGTGGATAAGTTGCTGAATGGGGAGGTTGACAGCATGCTGAATTTAGGAGTAATCGAGGAAGCCCAGATCGCTTGGTCAAGGTCAGATTATGATTGGATTGCGGAAAGTGAATAGTTTTATGCAGAGAGATGCATACCCGCTACCTCAAATCGATGCAATTCTTAGGAGGCTTCCTAAAGCCGTTTTCATCTCTAGATAAAGAACGCCTATTGGAAGATTCTTTTGGATCTAGGGTCACGGGACAAAACAGCTTTCACCAAAACACGTAAGCCTTTGTACCAGTTTACAGTGATGCCTTTTGGATTGTCGAACGCATCGCAGACGATGACGTTACTCATGGACAAGGTCATCCTGGCTTCACTGTGGAACGAAGTTTTCGTCTTTTTGGACGATCTACTAGTAGTGTCAGATTCTTTCGAGTCGCATTTGGCAGTCCTAACGACGGTAGGGCTAACGTCGGGGAGGGAGTCATCAAGACCGACCGGAAATGATATCAGCAATGGTGGAGTATCAAATTCCACAGACTCTAAAAGCATTGCGTAGTTTTCTAGGGATAACTGGGTGGTACAGTAAGTTCATCAGCAACTATGCGGACATAGCTGCCCCACTGACGGATCTAGTTAGACCTTAGTACAGTATCACAATAACGCAGGCGGGAGTTGAGGCGCTCGCAAAGTTGAAAGAAGCGACGTGCCAAGCACCAGTGCTGCACAGTCCAGAGTTCGAAAAGCCATTTTTCATCCATTGCGATGCAAGTAGCCATGTGATAGGAGGGGTGCTTGTTCAAAAAACAGAGGGAGATCGAGTATCCTATTGCCTTCGTCTCAAGGAAGTTGAGCAAGGCTCAGAAGAATTATTCTGTCACAGAACAAGAGTGTCTGGTGGCTATCATCTGCATCAATCGTTTCAGACCGTATGTCGAGGGGCATAGATTCAACGTGGTTACAGATCATGCATCGCTGCAGTGGCTCATGTCACAGCCCGATGTAAGATCGCGTTTGGGTCGGTGGGCAGCCAAGTTTCAGGGTTACAAGTTTAAATTCGAGCACAGGAAAGGGAAGTTACACGCGGTTCCACATGCGCTAACTAGGGTTTTTTAAGGCGAAGACGAAGGGATAGATGTTTCAGGCATAGACGTAGACTACGAGTCTCTGCACTTCGAGTCGTCTGAATACAAGACGTTGATGGAGGCGGTGGCCCAGGAAGAAGGGTTGGCTGATCAATTTGTTTGGAAGTTGTGGCTACCCAAGGAAGTTATTCCAGAGGTCCTAAGAGAGCCGCATGAAAGTTCAATGGCAGCATACGGTGGTGTCAAAAAAACGCTGAAGAGGATTCGGCGTATGTATTATTGGCCGTAAGAGGACCAGATTCTGGCTGAATCTTAGAGATTCTTTCAGAAAATCTACGTAGACTTTCTGGGACCGTATCCAAGGTCACGGTCAGGTAATGTGGGCATATTCATGGTTTTAGATTATCATAATAAGTTCGTTTTTCCGAAAGCGGTAAAGAAGCTGTCGGCCGACACAGTGGTTATTTTTATGAAGCAGGAGCTGTTTCATATATTTGGCGTGCCGGAGACTGTTGTATCGGACAATGGAACCCTGTTTAAAAGAAACGCTTTTAGAGGTTTGATGCGTGAGAATCGGGTGACTCAGGTCTTCACGGCAGTTTACTCACCGCAGGCGAACGCGTCTGAGCGGGTGAACAGGTCCGTGATAGCGGCGATTCGGTCTTACGTGAAGCACATTCAGAAAAATTGGGAGGAGCAGCTTAGCGACATCAGTTGTGCTTTGAGAACATCCGTTCATTCGGGCACAGGGGCTTTTCCATACTACCTAGTTTTTGGACAAGAGTTCATGGCTTCAGGAGGCTCGTATAAGCTTCTGAGGGCGTTCCTTTGGATCAATAGATCCAAACTTTGGATCACTTTGGATTTGTGATTGTAACGGCCTTTTAACGAGTTTGGGAAGCACTTGGCAACCCTTAAGTTTTGAATAACTCCCCTACAGGTGGCATGTTGGAAGCGCTTTCAACATCGCGAGGAATGGAAAAAGTGGTGATTAATAAACAATCACCAGTCCGTTCGTTGGCATCGGCACATTGGACATTCCCCAAACTCGGGTATGACCCTCGTGTTAACCCTTCTGCGGTAGTTCCAGTCAGGCTGAGCAAGTGAATCTATCTATTATTTCCAACTTAGAGTCCTGAAGCCCTGACTTCTTTAGTGGTCGCGCTCCAATGTTCGCTTACGGGATCGGCCGTAGACCGATGTGGAGAAACCGTATCTCGAACCTTGTATTATTCTTCGAATTCTAAAAAGTTACGATTGGGCGATTAAAATTTTTGATTTAATTTCTAGTTTAAGGCCGACATTTTAGATTTAAGAGATTTTGAATGGAGTTTAGTATTCTTTAGTTTGTAAGTTCAGAAGTTAATGGAATATCATGTGGAATTTAGATAATAAAACTTTTATTATGTGGTTAGAAAATTCAGCTAAGCCTGATTTGCCATCGCCATGCTATCACCCAACCGTTTCAGGATGCCGTAGTGGGAAGGACGCTTGCCCAAGGAGTCTTCAGTAAGGAAATACAGTTAGGCCTGCGCTTTTCGATAGGCTAAGTACGCATTCGATTAAATTCGAATCCTATGATGAATGATGAATCCTATGACCCACTCACTAGCCGGCGAGGTTTAGACCGGTAACCTCATCTCTCCCCCGGTATTATCGAGTGCAAGGTTTCCGCGGTATATCTGTCCGTTACACTTACATGGGGTCTAAAGTAAGTAGTTACTTTACTGACCGTTACATACGTTACTTGTTCAACATTTCCACGGAAAACAAACTGTTGTTAACTTTTTAAAAACAATTAAGTTAAATAACATTTTAAAAGACTTAAAAATCTATAGCCATGGCTATATTGGCTATATATATATATATCGGGAAACAGTTAGTACAGGAAAGTACAGAATGCGAAGGGCATAGCAGCAGAGGTCCGTTGACGAGTTACCGAAAGTCGTGAGATGAAAAGAGATAACGATATAGGCTCGACTCGAGAGAGAGAGAATGCTGCGAAAGCAGGGTTGAGCGTAATGATCGAGGAGAGTAGATTCATTCTGGCTTGGGTAACGTAGGTGAGCGGAACTCGCTGTGCTCGCGCATAAGTAAGAAAAGTTTAAAGGACTATGGAGGACGTTCCCGGTCATCCGTCATCAGAAGTGGGATCGCCTTCGCCACAAGAGCACAGCTCCGCTCAATATATGGCAGCGCTGGAGGAGCAAAACAAAAATCTCATGGATGTTATAAAAACCATGCAGGCGCCAAGAGCCTCGGCGTCGGATGGGAAAACCACGCACGTGACACTACCCAAATTTAATCCCGATGGCGCTGGAACAGATGCATCAGCATGGTGCACTACGGTCGATTTGATCTTCGCAGATAATACACTCGAAGGCAGCGCCTTAGTAATAGCACTAAGCAAAGCGTTGGAAGGCAGTTCTTCGCAATGGCTGTCCCATGTTTGCTTTGCTGGCATCACCTGGACCCAATTCAGGGTACTGTTCATCCAGCGATTCGTGGGCATTGAGACAACGGCTGCCGTACTGATCAATGTTTTAAACGGGCATCCCAGATCTGGAGAAAGCTTTGCAGAATATGGCAGTCGCATAGTTACGCTGTTGCTATCCAAGTGGAAGTCGACGGAACTGGAGGAGATTGCGGTGTCAATAGCGTTAGCCCACATGACGCAAATTGACACTAATTTACTGCGTTGGGTCTTTACGACGAATGTAACGACGCGCAATGAACTACAGCGGCAGCTGCAAGCTTACGCCTTCAAGAAGCGCAAACACGAAAATGATGAAAATTCGTCAAGCTCGGACAAGAAGAAACCACGAATGCAGATGCAGGTGAAATGCCATTATTGTGGAAAGATTGGCCACAAATATGCCCAGTGCCGTGCTCGCATGGAGAGCTCATCGTTCACCAAAGGAAAGAATCAGAGTGGAAGCAGTGTGTCCGGAATAAAGGAGCGTTCAAACATAAGATGCTACAAGTGCGGTGAGGTTGGACATATTGCTTCTGTATGCTCCAAAGGCAGTACTAGTGGACACGGCGAGTACAAGGAGAAGCGCGTCGACATATGTCAAGTTCTTCAGCCCAAAGGCTTATTCCATCAAAGGGGTGAGATCTTTCCATTTTTTTTTTGACTCTGGCGCCGAGTGTTCCTTGATTAAGGAAAAATTAAGTAACAAAATTGCTGGAAAAAGATTTAATAATTTAATTGTACTAAGAGGAATTGGCAACAATATTGTTAAGAGCCATTTGCAGATTTTGTCTACGATTCAAATATCCGAATTTAATTTAGAAATCTTGTTCCATGTAGTATTAGACAATTATTTAAAGCATGACGTAATGATCGGTCAAGATATATTCCATCTTGGTTTTGGTGTTATGATCGAAACAGATAAACTAAATATTTACAAAACTAAGATTATTAATGCTATACATGAAGATACATCTAATTTTGAAAATTTACTTGATACCAACATAGAATTAAGTGAAATTGATAAATGTAAACTAAAGAACATATTGCAAAAATACTCTGGCAATTTTATAAATGGAATTCCAACTAAGCGCGTAACCACGGGGGCATTAGAAATTCGTTTGATAGATGAGAATAAAACTGTTCAAAGGCGCCCATATAGACTTAGTGCAGATGAAAAGCTATTAGTTAGGGAAAAAATAGACCAAATGATTAAATCCAATGTGATCCGTCCAAGCAATTCGCCATTTGCAAGTCCAATGCTATTAGTTAAAAAGAAAGATGGCAGCGACAGGCTGTGCATTGATTTTCGTGAGCTAAATTCAAACACTGTCTCAGATAAGTACCCGTTGCCATTGATTTCTGATCAGATAGATCGCTTGCGAGGCGGAAAATATTTTTCCACTCTAGACATGGCCAGCGGATTTTATCAAATACCGATTCACCCTAACTCCATAGAAAAAACAGCATTCGTCACCCCAGAGGGTCAGTATAAATTTCTGGTGATGCCATTTGGGCTAAAAAATGCATCTTCGATATTTCAACGTGCGAGCTCTGGGTGACTTAGCCTATTCCTACGTAGTAGTCTACATAGATGATGTGCTGATTGTAGCAGAAACAAAGGAGGAAGCATATGAAAGGTTAGGTATAGTTCTGAGAGTCTTGTCTGAGGCAGGTTTTACATTTAATATAAAGAAGTGCGCCTTTCTTCGTACAGGAGTAGAGTACCTAGGATTCTATATTAAAGATAGTGAAATTAAACCGAATCCAAGTAAGATAGAAGCCCTGACTGCTCTGTCGCCACCATCCACTGTAACGCAGTTAAGGCAATTTATAGGCCTGGCATCGTACTTCAGACAATTTGTCCCGCGGTTCTCAGAGCAGATGAAGCCGCTTTATGAGTTGACCTCCAAGCTTAAAACGTTTATTTGGAAAGAGGAGCATGAGCAGATCCGACAAAAGATTATCAAAGTACTGACGACTGACCCTGTACTGACAATTTTTGACCCTGAGCTCCAAATCGAATTGCATACAGATGCCAGTGCTGATGGGTATGGCGCAATGTTAATACACAAAATAGACGGTAAACAAAGAGTAGTTGAATATTTTAGCAAACGCACAACAGTATCCGAAGCTAAATATCACTCATATGAGCTAGAAACTTTAGCCGTTTACAATGCAGTGAAGCACTTCAGACATTATCTATATGGTCACTGTACTGTATACACCGATTGCAATTCACTAAAAGCGACACAAAAGAAAGCTGAATTGACCCCAAGAGTACACCGCTGGTGGGGGTATTTACAGGCTTTTGAATTTGTCATTGAGTATAGAAAGGGTAGCCAAATGGCACATGTGGACTTTTTATCGCGCAATCCAATTCCTGTAGTCTCAACTGTCATCCATAGAGCAGAGGTTCGTGTAGATCTAGCTGCAATAACAAATAATTGGCTGATAGCCGAACAGCAACGAGATGATAGCATAATAAAAATCATGGACCAGTTAAAAAGCGAAGATATAGAGACAGATGTAAAGAAAACTTATGAAATTAGAACTGGGCTATTATATCGCAAGATACAACGTAATGGCAAGACTCGTTGTTTACCCGTGATTCCTAAGGCGTTTAGGTGGTCCGTTATAAACCATGTACATGAGGCTATGATGCATTTAGGGTGGCAGAAGACTCTAGACAAGGTCTATGACCAATTCTGGTTCGAACATATGTCTAAATATGTCAAGAAGTTCGTTGAAAATTGTATAACCTGCAAATTATCTAAGCCCCCTTCTGGAAAGGCACAAATGGAACTGCACCCCATACCTAAGATTAGTATACCCTGGCATACTATCCACGTAGACATAAGTGGCAAGCTCAGCGGGAAAAACGACCTGAAGGAATATATTATTGTACAGGTAGATGCATTTACAAAGTTTGTTCACTTGTATCACACTCTTAATCTAGACTCAGAAAATTGCATTAAAGCTGTGAAATCAGGTATATCTTTCTTTAAAGTTCCCAGTCGAATCATCGCAGATCAAGGCAGGAGCTTTTCTAGTGGTAAATTCCGTGAATTTTGCTCAACAAATAAAATTGACTTGCACTTAATAGCCACGGGCGCAAGCCGTGCTAATGGACAGGTGGAACGTGTGATGAGCACGTTAAAATCTATGCTAACTGCTGTAGAAACTAGTGAGCGTTCTTGGCAGGATGCATTACAAGATATTCAGTTAGCCATGAATTGCTCCACAAATAGAGTTACAAAATCTAGTGCTCTAGAGTTGCTAATAGGGAAAGAGGCTAGGCCTTTTGGTATGCTGAAAATAAATGAAGAAGATAATATAGTGAATAGAGAAAATTCTAGAATAGAAGCTAAAGGAAACATGGACAAAAATGCACAGTACGATAAAGAAAGATTTGATAAGAACAAGGCGAAGGTTATTGCGCATAAGGTAGGGGATCATGTTTTGCTGAAAGCTGAAGAGCGCCATCAGACAAAACTTGATCCCAAGTTTAAGGGTCCGTTTCAAGTGGTCAGAGTGTTAGATGGAGATAGATACGAACTGAAATCTTTAATCAATAAGCGGACATATAAATACTCTCATGAGTCTCTGAGAGCGCTACCGAATAGACAATTAACCAGCGAATTAACAGGAGAAAAAGGAGGTAGTGATGAGCCCCAAAATGGGGGAGAGCCTGCGGTTGGCACAAGAGAATGTGCGTCTGTGTCCCAAGAGGGGAAAGAGAATGAAGACGGCACAAGTGAATGTGCGTCTGTGTCCCAAAAGGGGAGATGTTGACCGAATGGTCTTAGTGACCTGGTGCATATTTTTGCACGACGATGATAAATGAAATTGACAAAATTTAAGTTAAGTAAATGATGAATTGTTTAGAAATAAGAATGGCTCGGTAAAAAAAAAAAAAAAAAAAAAAAAATGTAAAAAAAAAAAAAAAGGAAAAATGAATGAAAATAAGAAGTTTATGTTAATGGCTGGAATTGTCTATGGAAAGCGACTCACATATGTAGTTTGTAACTGCGTAGAAGAATAATGATAAAACGAATCAATGAATAAGTTAAATGTAAGGCTTTGAATATGAAAAACAATATAACCGATGTTTTCCTAGTTAGTTTGGCGATTTTGAAGTGCAACACACAGGGACGTGTGATAGGTCAGGAAGGCCGTGTCGGGAAACAGTTAGTACAGGAAAGTACAGAATGCGAAGGGCATAGCAGCAGAGACGGTGATAGTCTCTGCTGATGAGTGAGGTCCGTTGACGAGTTACCGAAAGTCGTGAGATGAAAAGAGATAACGATATAGGCTCGACTCGAGAGAGAGAGAATGCTGCGAAAGCAGGGTTGAGCGTAATGATCGAGGAGAGTAGATTCATTCTGGCTTGGGTAACGTAGGTGAGCGGAACTCGCTGTGCTCGCGCATAAGTAAGAAAAGTTTAAAGGACTATGGAGGACATTCCCGGTCATCCGTCATATATATATTGGCAATATAGCTATATTGGCTCTGCTGTTGAAAAAATTACTTTTCCATGTTACATACATTCGCACAAATACAATACACTCTCGTACTCTATGAGTACCGGGTATCAATATTAACAGGTGTTTAAAGATTAGCAAAAAATGTACCTTCAAGGTTTTTTTTTTAAGGTTTCAAGCGTTTTAAGGAGGTTTCTATATTTTGAAATCACTATTTAATCGGCTTACTAAAATTATTGTTTGTTTATTTTCACTTTTTTTAGGCTGCAATTAACCTTTTATTAAATTCTTTCGTTTACTTAAACAGGTTTAATAATTGTCAGTGTGAAATGGAATGAAATGAAATAAATAAACTACTTCATATCCATTAGTAAAAGATAGATCCATCTCTGCATTTGTATAATATAAAGAACTGGTGGTTGTATCACCAAGGCATAGAAGCTGACTTTCACCCGATATTTCCGAAGATGACGATTCATTTCCTAAATATCCTTTCGACCAAAAAATTTCCTGTACATTTTTTCGAATTTCCTATAGTTCCTATAATTTCTAATTTTATTTTTATACCCATGCATAGGGTATTATGATTTTGGTCAAAAGTGTGCAACGCAGTGAAGGAGACATCTATAAAGTATATATATTCTTGATCAGGATTAAGGACATAAGGAACGGCCGACTATATCCTTTAGCTGCCATATAATGTACGATCGGAAATGACGAAACTTTCGCGAAGATAGAACGCTGAAACTTAGTACAGATTCTATTTTTGGTCAGTTAATCCCACCTGCCAACTTTGGCATTTTTGAACATACATAGAAGCTTGGAACTTTTTTTTAGATATTTTATTGTATTTAATTGGTTTTAATATGATATTCTTATTAGAATCGGCCAACTATTTACATTCGATGTTTGTGATATATATTCTGTTTTAAATGCAAGGGTAAGTCAACTTTGGCTCCGCCCGAAGTTAGGTTTCCTTTCTTGTTTCTACTTATTTCCTCCGGCTCCATCTGAGGTAGCGCTCTAAATCTTCCAGTCCGGTGTGCCGTGATTGGGACTCCGACCCAATTGGCCAGCCAACTATTTCCAATCGGTCGCTCGGGTGTTCGCTGCGTGGGCGAAGGGCTATGTCGAGCTACTTCTTTGGATGGGAGTTCCGGAGGAGTCCATTTCACGAAGG